TGGGTAGCTATGATGGAGCAGAGATTTGCGAACTAGTCGGATTATTCATCTTAAGTAAACTTGAGGCGAAGTTCGGAAAGAACCAAGTTGGTTTGTACAGAGATGATGGGTTGGCAATTTTGAAAGCGAGACGAGCCAGATCAGCAGATAAAGCGAAGAAAGAACTACACGCTATCTTTAATGATATTGGCTTCAAGATAACAGCAGAGGTGAACCATCATGTTGTCAACTTCCTCGACCTCACTCTGGACTTGAAAAACGAAACATTTTCACCTTACAGGAAACCAAACAACGACCCTCTCTACGTCGACAATAGATCTAACCACCCACCCTCTATCATCAACCATATCCCTTCCTCAATCAGCAAACGCATCTCCTCGCTCTCTTCCGATCAACCATCCTTTGACTCTGCTGCACCATTCTACGAAGATGCGCTTAAGCGCAGCAACTACGATGTACCTCTGCAATACTCGGCCTGTGATAATTCCTCCAGTCTGCCATCTACCAACCGAAGACGTCGTAGAAACATCATCTGGTTTAATCCACCATTCAGCAAAACAGTTCGAACTAACATCGGTCGAAATTTCCTACAGTTAATTGATAAACATTTCCCTTCTACCAACCCGCTCCATAAGGTCTTTAACCGCAACACAGTCAAAGTTAGCTACTCCTGCATGGAGAATATCAAAACCATAATATCCCGACATAACCATCGCCTGTTAAAGAAAAACCCTACACAAAAACCTGTCCCATGCAACTGCCAAAAACCAGATGAATGCCCACTAGACGGAAAGTGCAAAGTAGACAACATTGTCTATAAAGCCACGGTGACAACTGATGACGGAAATACAAAAGAGTATATTGGAATGACGGCCAATCCATTCAAAGAAAGATACGCCAACCACAAAACGTCATTCAACCTCTACAACCACTCGTCTGACACAAAGCTTTCGAAGTACGTTTGGAGTCTGAAGCAAAGTAGAAGAAATTACAGCATCAAGTGGTCCATCTTGAAACGAGCTGTTGCGTACACGCCTGGTGGAAAGCGATGTGGCCTATGTTTGGAAGAGAAATTATGTATCCTTAAAGCGAAAGGAAACAATTCACTGAACACGCGATCAGAGTTTTATGCAAAGTGCTGTCACAAGGAAAAATTTAGCGCGTGCAAATTCAAACCGGTGACGATAGACAAACCTCCGCGTCAGCGAGCGACCGTTGATATTGACGAATCAAACACTAACTGAATTAATTGCCTGAAGATCGTCTTGAATAAGGCGTGAAACTTGAGTAGCAATAATTAATTTTAAGATATAAATATATCTTGCTATCTTGCTCTACTATAATACTAGTGTTGAGCACTTCTACTACAACAAAACAAGGTATATATATATATATATATATATATATATATATATATATATATATATATATATATATATATATATATATATATATATATATATATATATATGAAGGAGTAGAGCAGGAATTTTTTCCTGTGCCGATATTAGTTCGTTTCTTGAGTTCAACGAGCTTAGTTTGGGATAGTAAATTATAACGAACTTTTCGTGCAGGCATATTTTACAACGTTTTGCTTTATTTGAGTAGGACTTACATTTCTTTAAATTTTTAAGAAAGGTTTTTATATAAATAACTAGTCTTTTTGGCCGATTATAATCGCGTGATATTGAATGCAAATTTTGAGTTTTATTGAGAACACAGCTCATTCGTGCATTTTTGTACTGCACAGACATAGACGTACGGGCGACAGCATTTTAGAGGGAGGGAGGGGGGGGGGGCTGTTTGGTCTTATAACTCTCGCTTCGTCCGCCTATGCATGTGTGAGAAACAGAATACTTATAGATATTGAACTTTACTGTTCCATTTGGAATATTACATTTAGAGAACAGAAACTAACGCCGTAACTTTCGAGCCCTCGCTGAAATTGTATAACGTTGATTTGTTACTATTCCGAATTTGGAAGGTCCTAAGTTATTAGGATAATAAACCAGCCTAAATTGTTCGGCAAACTATTTTACGATCTATATCTGCTTTCCGTGAAAACCATTAAACTTATGCATGAATTAGGTCCATCAAAATCACTCAATCTTAAATTTATAATCTGAAAACTGTATAAGGTATCGCGAACAAACTTCTAGAAAATGATGCTCGAGCAAGTAGAAGCTGACCTGCAACTTCTGATATCATAGCAGCACGAACAAGGGGGAATTTCGTTCTCGACCAATCAGCGCTTTTGTTTACATTTTTGCCCTAAGCCAATCAGAATGCGTAAAACGCTTCATCACATGAAATTTGTAAACAAACATATGGGGTTACTTCAGAGCTTTTCTGCAAGCGGTTTTTTGGTTTTTTGCCATGAAATTCATATATGTTGTTCTTAAAAGAATTCTCCTCAACTTCCTCGTGGCGAATTTTGATTAATTGCGTGATTGCGAAGATATGGGTCTTCAAACTTTGCCTTGCGCAAGCTTAAATACCACCCCTCGAATTTGTAGGTCCGAACGGATTAGCGTTTTTAAAAGCCTTTCAAATCGAGGTTTGAGACGTTTTATTTTTTAAAAGATACTTTTATCTTCATATTTTCACATTAACTTATTAATATCCTGTGTAACAAGTAAACAGGACATTTCCGGGCTGGGACAAGTTGACATGTCGATTTCTTGCCAAACAGCGTGGCGATCAATATGGCGAATATCTAAATACAGGGAATTTTTAAAATTTTGTTGGTATAAATGGGATAAAGAAGCTCATCAAATATTTGGACTATGGACCTTCAAACTTATGCCAAGTATTTATTTGATTGA